GAAGATTAAAATTGGATGTAGGATTTTACGAGGAGAGGGCTCTTCTCCCTTTTCCATCTTTGTTCCCCTTCTTATTCTACCTCCTCCTCCCCATTTGTTGCTGGTACTTGATGTATCGTTCCATTCAGTTTCATAACGAAGCAGAGTGGCCAGCAGCCATGACAAACCATTCTCCGTGCGAGTGTAGTGCTGCTTCGATGCAGGTGGCGGTGGCGGCGAGGGACCGGGTCCGTTGCAGGGGAGGAGACGACGTGGTGCGAGGCTCCGCCTCTAGGTAGGACGCGGGACCCACTCCTCCTTTTACTCTTCCTTGTCCAAAACCGTGGACGGGGCACTGTTCCGCACTTGCGCTCTGGCGTGGGATCACCCACGCATCTTATTTTGGTGCCTTCCGTTCCGTCGACCACGTAAACTAGGCAGGATGGGCCAGTCAAGGTGGGCGGGCATCCATCACTTTGTCGCCTTCATATTTGCTCCAAATGTGGTGGTTACGTTAACCGGATCTTCCCATGAAATCAACTACCAGCCGGCCGTGTTGTGAGTTGAGCTTTTGTCTTGTTTGTTCTGCAACCTTCTTATCTTCGAGTCGACGCGCATCCACGGATTCGTCCCTGCAGCAGGATCTGGCTTTTCCCCACCCAGTTACTGATATGGTATCTAATGCTGACTGGAATTACAGCATGATGAACGTGATAGAGCAACTGCGAGGTCAGCTTACAGGCCCCTTCTCCTTGATCTTTATTTTGTTTGAAACGGGTGATATTGTCTTTCATAGTTTTAATCACACCTATAATGAAGTTGTTGGGTTTGGAAGTTGCTACGCTGCCATCTTTCAACTTTTGACTGGTTGAAAAGGCTAGGAATATTCGTCTGATAAAAAAAGATGTGGCTCTTCTGATTATGTTGGGACATAGTTGCTTTCCCTGTGACCTCTCTACTAAGATTTGGAGGCTTACTCAAGATCGAATGAATATTCAATTTGAATTCTTTATATACCAATGTCGGGATGCTTGGATTAAAGAACTTGTTGGGTTCTTGGAGGAAAAAAGCTTCAATGATTGGATAGTATATGCTGGTTCGGTTGTATATTGGTTAAGAACTTGTTGAGTTGAGATGAACAGATGAAATCCATTGAGCTTATAAATGATTTTCAAGATATTCTGAATTAGTTGAAATTAAAATTCTATTGATAGATGAGTTGTGGACTTGTATTCCCCTTGGCACCTTACTTGATAGTTGGATAATTTTGGTATAATTATGATTTTAATAATAAGTTTTCGTAATGAAAGAAAAATTAAAAGAAAAAACTTGTTATAGAAAAGAGGAAGAGACAATATGAGAAGTCCTAAAAATTTTAAAATCATGGTAAATAAAGATCGAAGGTTCAAATTTCAAATTAAGAATGAAATATATCATTGTGATAAATTAAGCTTAATGAATCTATTGGTGACATGATCTAATGGGATAACTGACCTACCAACTTTATTAATCTGGAACTAGTAGATATATACCCGTTAAACTATAAGTCAATGATATAATCTTGAAATATCAATATTTTGATTAGTTAAAACTATCAATGTCTTGTATTGTTCATGAGAAAATATGAATATAAGAAAATCTCTATTTATGATACTGTATGTGAAAATGAGTTTAATTAGCTACAATTATGAATAATTTGTTTTGCTTATAAGAAAAATAAATTAAAAAATCTACGTTTACGATACTAAACATGAAATATGATAAACATTTAAAGTCACGCATGAGAGAAGGCTAGTGACATGTCCTCCAATCACATCAATGGTAGTCCTTTACTTTGAGACTTTTATTATGCTCTTTGCTATGTCAACTCTAATATCAATAATAGATTAAAATTATTTAATAAAAATTACTCTACAATTGAATTGGTAAGTAAAATCATTTTAAAAAGTTTGGATCTAAAATTGATTATAGTTTATAGTAAGTTAATGATACAAGTGATTTTATCATAAAGTTATTACACTTGAAGAATTCATAAAGTTATTAATAATTAATATATCCATTAGACCTATATAAAATAGCTTAAATTCTTATTTACTTCTGATGTGGGACTATACCGGAGTGTTACATATATATTAAATTTATGGATATTATCAATGGATTAAATTAATTTGATAAAAATTACTCTACCATTGAATTGACAAGTAAAATCACTTTAAAAAAAAATAAGATCTAGATATTATCACAATTCAACAAGTAGTCAAAGATACAAGTGATATTCTACTTGAAAAACTCATAAGGTTATTGATAACATATAAGAAGATATACAAACATTCAGAAGGAAGAAGAAAGCCTACTCAAATAAAAGAAGAAAATGATACTTAAGGTAATATAAATAAATCTAGTTAATTAAAAGTAGAAGAATGATCTATTAGAGAAGTTATAAAGTATCTATATAACCTTTAAAAATAAGATAAGTGATCCATCTAAAACTTCTTTATCACATGAAGAAAAATATATAACGAGCTAAAAATATTTTGTTTAAAAGTATAGTCATGACAAATAAAATCTACAACATGATAAATCTAAGTCTACATCTTGTAAACATGCATTAATTATCTTTAATATCTTTTTGTTTTACTTGACTAGTTTATTGTTCACTTTAAAAGTCTATTCACCTCCTCTATCAACACCACTATTATAGAACTCAAATTTTGTCTTTGTAATTAGCAAAGAATTAAGGTGAAAAGACTTGTAGTAAGTAAAAAATGATAGTAAAAAAATAAAAGAAAGAAAAAAAGAGGAGACTTACCATCATCATCTAGTGCCTCAAGACTTCATTAGTGAGCTTTAGGAAAATCACATCTTGGACAAAGGTTGTAACCTTCTCAAAATCTTGTGATGGCTCGTATATATCTAATATCAATTAATGGTTATTGATATCCTTGTCCTATGGGTTGGATAATTGCTCAACTATCATGACTTAGTTAGAAGAGGGGATAAAACATGATGTTCATACTATTGTAACTTTTATCCATGAAACATTCCTTATTTTACGACTAAGCCAAAATAGGAAAACAATATGACTAATTATCGACTTCTCTCCTTAACTCATAGAAGACTCTCCCCGAGACCTCTATGTCTCTACCATTACTCCACATCATTTGAGGGTATTACAAAAGCTAGAGGTATAGTCTTAATAGCAACTTAGGGGGTCTTTTATTTTGATGACCTTAAGATCTTGGATCCTAAGTTTTTGAACTTGAGTATTTTCTTTCGAAGCACTCATTAGTCTATTGAGTATCTCCATAAGGTTGAAGGACAAATTAGATCAGTTCTATTAGAAATATGAAAAATACTACAAGGTAAACTTAAATTACTTGGATTAGCAAAACCTCATCCATTCCTTGAATTATTGAGAAATTTTTTAGGATTTCAACAAGCTTCTCAACTTGCTTTGCCTTATGGTTAATTAGCTCTAGAGCTCTTTAAAGAGTAATAGAAGTTATCAATATTAATTCTATGGGTGAGTCCTCCTAAGATGATTGGGAATGCTTCTTTTTGTTTTTTACTTTCATAATGCCCGAGGCTCTTCAAAGCCTAAAACAAGTTGTAGCCATGACCTACTAAATCTTGGTTGACTAGCGTATTTTCTAGTAGTATTGGAAGATAGTATAAAAAAATTTTGTCATTCAAGTGACACACACCTATGAAGACTACCAGATTGAGCTAGGAATTTGATGCAATATGAATAGGAGTTATTCACCAATAATGAAGCATTTCACCCTAAAAGGATAGAATAAATATATCTAGGGCCACATTGGCTCATATTGATGTTGCTTGACTAGGGAACTACTAACTAGTATTTGAGAGTAATTAGATACTTCTCCTGGAAGGTCTCTGTATCAACCTCCTAAATATCGAAGTCGTAAAATTATCCTATCCTTTAAATAGACATGTCTATCTTCTCTACACCTACATTTTATAGAGGTAACTAAGTTGTAAAATCTTAGCCTCTTAGAGATGGAGGACAACTAATAGATGTTCTAACTCTTAAATCTCGGAGCCCCTAAACTAACCCATCCTTTAGATGAATATATCTATCTTCTCTACACCTATATTTCATAGAGGAAGAGTTACACAAATCTTGGCCTCTTGAGGTAGAAGGGCAAGTAACACCTTTAAGAGGGATAATTCAAAATTTGGCTCTTTTAGGTGGAATTATTAAGATCAATGCCTAAACTCTTTTAATAAATAAGACATTAGAATTTGACAAATATAGACTCATGCTAAACTAGCCGTTGCTTTCATCATTTGGCTTCTCCGATAATAGAATTTGTTAGCTTAGTGGAATCATTACAAAAGAGGTCAAGATTCAAAGGATACAAAACTACTTTGATACCATGTCACTATCAAATCATAATGATATATTCAATATCAAAATAAAAAATATTATTTATAATCATATAGACTCAAGGGCTCTTTTATAATGATATATTATTCTCCTTACGCTATATAAAATTTTCTCCTCATAGAGGAAGACAAAAACAAGTTTTTCCAACCTTGTTTCAAAAATCTCTCATCCTCTCATTCATTGAACTCACATAGCTTATACTATCTTATATTTAAGACTTAAGAATCGGAGAAAGATTAACCGAGAAGCCTCCAATAACTTTTATTTTGTAATTTCTCTTCACATAACTCATACTATTAAGTAACTCTAGAGAAACTTTTATCATAACTTGTTGAGACACTAAAAAAAAAGAATAAGATTAATTCCACTAATGCTCCGTTGGATGGATATTATATCAGCTTTCATTCAATCTATCTGTTGAAAACTAGATAAATTTAAAATTTTACATCAAATAAGATGCAAAATTTATGATGACGTTAATTTCCGAATGATGGGTGAATATTTCACATATTTATTAAAAGTTTAATATAGAAAAGATATGACATGCTTTATGTTGTTGCGTTACATCACTCGAATAAGATCACAATTCGTTATAGCATTGCTAGAATCATCAGATTTGACGATCGGTGACGACGACGGGGCTTCTCACCACATGCTTATCTGAAATCCATCTCAATTTTCCTTCAACAGAGTTGACTGGGCGACCCGTCCACTTGGCGCTGACTGTGAAACTCTTCCTCTCATTCACTTGGGTGAAATTGAGGATTTGAGGCTCAACAGTGAGAAACACGGTGTCGGGCACGTTCACCTTCACCTTGTAGCTCGAGTTCGTGGGTCCCACGTTGGTGACTGTCCTACTCACAGTGTGGTTGATGTTCCTTGGGGTAAGCGTGATGGTGGGATAGTTGAGTTGTGCTTCGGTGAGGTTCTTGACTGTCTCACATTTAATGGATCTGCCACGAACTATGGCCTTGGCACCAGCGTTTCCATACTTGCCACAAATGTAGGCGATGTAGTCATCGATGTCCAAGTCGTAGACGAGACCGGGATCAACTGCTTTTGAGGGATTGACGTGTCCGGCGCCCATCGCATAGAAGCTGGCCGACCCACGCTGTTCGTCCTGGATGAACCTCCCCTGTCGGTCTTTGTCGTCGGAGGTGGTCATGATAGCTGATTTGATCGCCGCCGCCGACCAGTCGGGATGCAAACTTTTTACGAGTGCAGCGACCCCGCTCAGATGAGGGGCTGCCATGGAGGTACCGGACTGGATTACAAAGGTATCATTAGCTGTTCGTCGGTCGATCCACGCCGCAAGAATGTTGACACCAGGTCCGGAAATATCAGGTTTTATGATGGAATAGCATTCCCGGGCAGGACCCCTCGAGGAGAAATGAGCGATGGCGGGAGCAGGAGTTACTCCAAGAACCGTGCCTCTGAAGGAAATGGTTGCCGTCGCATTGGACGTTGAATTCACATATGTTATAATTGGATTGCCGTCGTTGAAGGGAACCGATGCCGTCGGGAAGTTGCAGGTGCGGTCGACCATGGTGTAGCCTTCTTCATCAAGGTTGACGACTATCATGCCGATGCCGCCTGCAGCCTTAACAATAGCCGCCTTACCTGTACAAATCAAGTCGTCGGCCTGGCAGACGGCCACCTTACCCTTGACTTTCTCGCTGACAGTATAGCAATTATGGTAGTCGTAACTTGTGTCAGTTATGAATAAAGGAACAGGGCCTTCAGGAAAGTTTGGTGGCTGGTCCATAGATTCCGCGTTGATCTTGCGCCCGTCACCCAGCTCCACGGTGGCTTGCAGGCTTCTGTCCATGGTAGTTGCCGCCACGGTAAGAACCCATGGCGCTACACTGGACAGGGTAGACTTGAATGGCCCGTCATTACCAGCGGAACAACTCACGAAAACTCCTTTCTCAACAGAAGCACGAAAGGCAGCAATGGAGACGGGATCCTGATCAAAACGGGTGGGAGATCCTCCCAGAGACATGGAGATCACGTCGACACCATCTTTAACGGCAGCGTCGAACCCGGCCACTACAGCTGATTCCGAGCATCCGTCGTCGTTGCACACCTTGTAGATAGCTAGATGAGCGTGTGGTGCGGTCCCGGCTGCAGTGCCACGAGCTAAGCCAAAGGCGCTGGCGTTGCGTACAAAGTTCCCAGCTGCGGTGCTTGAAGTATGGGTTCCATGCCCGTATACATCGATGGGTGGTTTTGCAGTATCACCAGCAACCAAACTCTTGGCACCGATGAGCTTGTTGTTGCAGCCGGTCTTGAGGTTGCACGAGCCTTTCCATTTGCCAGGCGGCGGCGGCGGCACACCGCGGTCATCAAAGGAAGGGTGATTGGGCGTTATACCAGAGTCGAGGACTCCGATGATGACCCCCTTGCCTAGGCCGGAAGCCTGCCATAGTCCTTGGCCTACTTTAAGGCCGAGGAAGTCCGCCGTATGCGTGGTGTGAAGAGGCAAGACACGGTCCGGGTGTGCCCGCAGGAAGCCCTCCTTCTTTGCCATATTCTTCACCTCCTCCTCCGTTAGCTTTGCGGCGAATCCGCTGAAGACCTCACTGTAGGAGTGGAGCAAGCGCTCGGAGTTGTCGTTAGACTCGGGCAGGAAGGACTTGTACCATATCTTCAGACCCTCTTCATCCAAGCTCGCAGTTGGCGTTTCCAGTTGAATGATGTAAGTCCGTGGCTGGTCGGTCTCATGGTTAGGAGTGTTGTGACAGAAGGCAACGAAGGGATTCTTCGATAAGAATGGAACAAGAGCAAGGAGGACAAAAGAAATCCATGGTGCATGAAAGTTCTCCATGCCGATGAAGCAAGCAGGGGGGAGAGAGAGAGAGAGAGAGAGATGATGATGGAGGACCTCCTCTTGTTAACCTTTCGTTACAGCTGCCATGTACACAGAGAAACAAATGGACCTATGAATGGGAAATAATCATCACATCATATTTGCGATCAAAAGAGATCGTTTCTGTAATAATTATGATAAAATGTAGAATGCAATCATCACATAATATTTGTGATCAAAAGAGATCATTTCTGCTAATAATTATGGAAAAATGTAGAATCAATAGATATCTCATGGAAGGAACCTTATACAAGAAACTTTTCCTTTAAATCTTATTTGGAATACGAAGATAAAGTATCATAATGTTGATTTAAGAGTGTTATTCTTCCTTTGTGACCTCCATTTGGCAAATTATGTTACTTGGAAAGAGGTTAGCAGGGGACAGATTGGAAATAATAGGAGGATTTATCATAGTAGTAGAATGAATGCATAGAAAATTTGCCCAAAAACAAAAAAAAAGACGAATAGGATATTTATAGATGCAAGATTTGACTCGATTTGCGTGCATAAAAATAAAAAGAAACTTAATAAACTTCTAAGCATGGGCTAATTCCCAGTTTACATTCTAATTAGAGCAACGACAGTAAGGCTGTGTGATAATAGCGTGTTGTTTTTGGTTGATAACTTGATAATTATGGATCATTGGCCATAATTATGCTGTCAGATTTTTGAGAATTTTGAATTCACAATCGAATTTAGATTTCCACCACTAGAAAGTAACCGTTACGACACACCTTTGCTCTATTTGTCTGTTGGATAAATGAATTTATAAAAGAAAATTAAAATTAAATTAGGTGAAGACACTTTAAGATATGTCTAATCCCAAAATGATAAAAAAATATTTTAAATAAGATAACATGATTTTTTTTTTATGAATTTAGACATTAAATGGATTCCAGGTGACTCATTGACACCTTTCAAAAGTTAAGGCAGAATCAGATTTTTTAGGTATGTGGAATTTGGAGCTAACTTTGGTCCTCTCAAGGCTTATCTTAAACTTAGTCTTAGGAGTTAATTGGGTCTGATGTGGGATAACGTAAGAATTATGTTAGGGGCATATCAGACAGTTGCTCTTCTTGTGCCTAAATTAGTGAGTAGAAAAAAAATATTTATAGAATTTAGAGAATTCGCTTGAGTTAAGATACCTAGGGCCTTGAGCTGTAGTAATCTTTGTAATTAAATAAAAAGTTAATTTAGGAGAATGATTTCACGGGATTATCTAAGTACTAATCGAATGTCAAAAATCATTTGAACTATTGGATGTTATAGTTGGCAATATTATGCCGACCATGTGAGCCACTCGTTTGATACATCGAGTTGACAGTGTATTGTTGGACTAGCGATGGTGATATGACATGATATGATATTATGATATCTATATATTTTATTTCTCTTATTATCTCTTATTGTGTTTTCATACGAAGAATATCAAGAAATAATGTCTTTATCTTTAGTCACATCACATGTGGTGAGGGTCATAATTATACCTTTGGTTTATTCAAATATCATGGGTGCTTTAGCCTTACTTGATTGTGTTAGACAATAGATATTTTGCTACCAAATATAATTGAATCAAAGACCACATATGCTTCTGGATTCAATTGTATTAATAGATAATAGATATTTGATATTTTAAGAATTTAGAGTATATTTTGAAAGATCACAAATTGATATCTTACTTTTTTAATAAGATTAGATAGAGGTGTAGGTATAAGGAATTCTTAGTTTATAAAGTTAAAATATATTTTAAAAAATCTTAAATTGATGCATTATATTTTAAATAATATTAAATAAAGTTATAGAGATTAAAGACTCTTGTATTTGATATCTATAAATAGGTGTTATCTACATGTATAGATTCATCCAAGCCTCAAGTACTTAAGCCAATAGAACTAAAGTCTAAGAGTCGTTGAAGATATGTAAGTGCTTTTCTTTTTTATAAGTTCAATATTATTTTTCTTTTCCACCTTGATTTTTTTTCTTTTATTTGGTTTGATCTTAGGCAAGTAATATATTATTACTATTATTTGAGAAAGGATTATACCTACATGTGATCCCTCCCTTTCTTCACACAATAATCAGATTAGATCACAATAGGGCCAACATATGCTCCATTTAACCACATAGTAAAATGACACTTCATGATTAAATTTAATTATAAAAATATAACAAACTATTTAAGGCCAAATTCAGTCACGTCAAGAGATAACATATACTTCATGATCAAATTTAATCATGTCAAAAAAAATATATTATAGTTAAATAAAGGATACTTTATGATTAGACTCAACTACACTCAAGATGATGTCCAACGTAGAATTTTGAGATATGCATTGAAGATGAAGTTCATGTAGAATTCAATATATAGCATATGCTTCTTAATTGAAGTCCAGTATATCAATCAAGGTGACAATCCACGCATGTGGTCTATCATTGGCGCTTCATGCATTAGTATGCATAACTATCACTGCCTAATGATCAGTGTTTCCTTGGCTAATGAAGGGGTTCCACATCAACACCCAGGTGAACTATTGGGATCTAAAGGAGATAGATAATGTCTATCAATCTACCATGGCCAATTAGAGATGGCCATGTTGCTTCTTAATTGAAACGTTGGACAAACCAAGGGTCTTTGGGTCTTTGTTCCATGTACACTTAACGAGAGCTTTGGTATTTCTAGGCCATTGAGCTTTCGGCATTCAGTAACTTCCCAAGCTCACGTTTTAAAGGTTAAAAAATGCATTGCTTTGGCTCATTTCTTTATGATCATATTTTTAAAATTATATTTATGAGATAACCTTTGAGTTTTGTTGATCATAATCTTCCTCATGTCTATAAATTATATAAAGCTTTTCATAGTCTTAAGTAGACGTCTCGTGCTAGCTATTATGAATCTCGAATATATCTAGTATTAGTCAGATTTCATAATTCTTAATCTAATATTTGTTATTCATTTATTCTCTTGAGTGTATAATCATATTTTTAATGACTTTATTATTACAAGTAATAAACTAATAATAATTAATTATTTTATTCAAATAGCTTCGAAGCATGTTTTTTATCAAAGATCTTGGGTCCCTTAAATATTTTCTTAGTACTCAAGTCATCCATATGGTTTATTTTTTTTCTCAACAAAAGTATATTTATGATCTTCTTGATCTTACCAAAATGGTTGAAGCCAACATTATTACTATGCCAATCTATATAAGTGTTCCTCTTATATTATTTGATAGTGATAATTTTAATAATGTCATTGAGTGTCATTAAGTTATTGCCAATTTATAATATTTGACATTTACTCATCCGAATATTACATACACAATTAATAAATTATTTTAATTTATACACAAGTCTCCTTCCAACCATTTGATAATTATTAAATGCCTTATATGGTATTTAAAGTGCACTATTAATCATGGCTTATTTTTTTGAAAGAATTCTCCTCTACTACTTCATGTATCTTCATATGCTAATTGAGTAGGTAATAAGAATGATAGGATATCTACTAGTATTTATGTCATATTTCTCAATCATAATATCATCACTTCGAGCTTCAAAAAATAATGCTATGTTGCAAGATCTTCTTCTATGGAGGTTAAATATCGAACGATTACTTTTACAATTGTCGAATTTTATTAGATTCCATCCTTGCTATATGAACTCTTTATCACATTCTTTAATCCACCATCTATATATTATGATAATATCGATACAACATATCTATGTGATAATATGAAGTACATGATTATCGATGTGATAATATGAAGTACATGATTATCGATTTTTACTTTATCCATGACAAAGTTTAAAATGACGAACTACGTGTCTCTCGTATCTCAACTTATCAACTTATAGATACTCTTACTAAGTCTCTGTCTTGTCAACAAATTATTCTACTTTGGTCTAAGATCGATACCTCCAATGGGAGTACTATCTTGTGGGGGCATATTAAAAAAAATATCATTAAAAAAATATCGTGATCCTCTTAGTATTTTGATAATATGTTATCATAATTCTAAATCATATAATTTATGATAACATATTATAGTAATTCTATCAAATAATGAGGATCATATTCTCAACATATTTTCTCATGTTATAAAATAATCTAGATAAATATTTTATATTTATAATTGTTTAAAAAAATATATAATCATCATATTTTGTAACTCTCTTTATGTATATAAATTCATACTCACTATCAATACAAAATTAAGTTAATCATTTCTTTCATATATTTGGATGGAATTAAAATGACATGTTTAGCTTTAATAATCCACCGAATCCCTCATGCATTAAGATCTAAATGTTTGTGCATGGTTTATATACACGAAGTCCTGCCTTGGGCTTTGCCATGCAAAATGGACAGTACCCAAACCAGTCGTTTCCCTTCTATAAATTAATGGCTGATTCCAATTATGGTCAACTCCTTACAATGTTCAAGAACAAAGGGTAAGTTGTCTCTACGTGAGGCATTCGAACTAAGGTTTACACTAGTAACTTGGCATCTCCCTAGTGGTACTGAATCCAACAGCCATCCACATTAACAAATCGCGAGGCAGAAAGCTTGTGAGATGAACCTGCAGATTGTAAACAGATTCTCTTCCCGAGTTTTCCATGAGAACTGCCAACCAACCTCCAACACAAAGCGTACGTATGAATGGTTTGGAGTTCGTACTCGAAACCATATCACTGTGGAGCAGCCAGCCAACAGTATCTTCCATAGTTTTGTGAGTCAAGGTTTGTGGTACAGTTGAAGCCTTCACATCAAAGTAAAATAAGGGAACGAAGTCCCCATCAATCAATCATCTTTTGAGTCTCCCTGCCTTGGGAGTGCTAAGACAATAAAATTATGTTTCAGATCCTATTTACAGGGCGACATCCACGTGTGTAGTGCTAACGTCGGATTAAGATGGATTAAAGATAACGGGGTCAATCAGATTTAGTATTATGATTCG